AACAAAGTCTCCATGTCGTGGGTTCCATTGTTTTAGTTTTGCACGGGTTGGAGGAGTTACATGAATACGAAGATAATAGCATAAATCTACTCCTCTCTTTTAATTAGTGAAGAAAATTGAAAATTGATTTCATGTGGTCTACTCTTTCAGTAGCTATCCTTTTTTTTTTTTTTTTTTTTTACAAGTAGATATTTGTTTCTCATCCCCTTAAATTTAATGTTTAATCCATTAATTTTTTTTTTGAAACAATTACAAATTGCAAAGGATGTAAGGATTTAAATTAGTCTTATACTGATAAAAATTCATTTTTAAAACTAATTATTAGCTGGTTAGTCCGTAAAAGCAGGTGCCTATTAACTATTTATTTTGTTATCACTTTAATTTAAAAACTTTATTTTACTCCAAACTAGCCTAAAAATATTTATCGAAATTTCCTTAGTTTTCTAACAAAGTTTCATGCCAACAACTACATGACATCGTTCACTCAAAAATTATGAAAATAAAAATAAAAACTACATCGCATCGTGTCCCGCCATAGGGTAAAGAAGAAAAGAAAAGAAAGAAGAGAACTCAGTCTTAACTCTAGACTTTGCCCCTTTTCTCACATAGGCCTTAAAAGAAAAAAATTATTATGTAAGCCCCTAAATAATTGGACTTAAGTAAATTAATTCGTATTAACAGCATGAGGTTATGTAAGTTAAATAATTATTTATTTTTTCTCACTTGTGTGACAATTCTTTTATATTTATATATTGATTTGATCATTTTTTTACTTAAATGCCTATATCATATAAATTAAAATTCTCACAATTAAAAGTAAAATAATTAAGTTTTATATAATATTAACATCTAAAAATATAAGAATTACCACACAAAATAAAAAATTATTGTTTAATTTACATGATTGTATATAATTCCACCTAAACATAAAAACTAATTTATTTAATTATAGACATTTATTGACTCACATGTCACTTTTTTTTAAGAGCTTATATGAAAATAAGAAAAAAAAAAAAGATCAAGGAACTTAACAGTAGTTTTTGCTAAAACAAAACTACAGTGTGAGCACACCACCTAACCAAACAAAATCAGATTTTAACTTTTAGCGAACCTCAATTGACCAATACCAAATACTAAATTTAGCTTTTTTTTTCCTCTAGAAAATATGTTTCCCCTTTTCAAAACTCAAAAGTATTCATGACCATTGTTGGAGAAATTTTTTATTTATCTCGTCCTTAGACTTTTGAAAAAC